GAAACAGACGTGCAACTTTGAAAATCTCATCAGGGAAAAGGACAAGTAGCTGGTTGGCATAAAGTCAGAGAACTTTAAGAAAATTGGACTACTGTCAAAAATTTAAGTCGAAGAAATCACTATTATTGTTATTACAAACATATTTCGTCTCGTAATCTTTCGCAAGTTAATGCCACGATTTCTTGAGAAGGAACTTAAAAGTTTATTAAATTCAGTCTTTTAATTCGTTTTTTAATTCTTGCATGGTGATTAATGACCATCTAATTAAGCTGAGGTGTACAGAGGCCTGGAGGTCAAACATGCATTTTGGCGACTTGACAGGGCAAGAGAATAGTGCTGACGCAAACGTTTGGCCGATTATTGGCTGTTCTCAATAATTCTAAGCCGGCATTTGAGTTCAGCCTAAATGTCTCGAAAAATAGGGGTGAAAGCATCACTCCACATTTGGAGAAGAGCACACACCCTGGACCCATTACAGTTTAGGGAAATTTAGCCTGCATGAGTTGAGAAGTGACATTTACACTGTTTAAAAGCTGAACAATTTGTTGTGCCCCTGACTTTAGCTCTTGTCAGCCGATTGTCAAGAGCCCTTTCTATGTGAAATTGCCCTCTGTGACTCTTAAAGGGACTTGCAGCAGCGATGGACTCCAGTAAGTGCCCAATTCATGGCAGAGGCTGAAGCATCCGATTAACTATGTTGACAAAGCTCAAATTCCCTGCCAGGGTGCATCAACACACACAGAGCAGAGCTCACTCACTCTAGTCTCACGCTTTCAATTGAGATTCCACTGTTCATACCTGCTTTGAACAACGACAAAAATATACTCACTTTAATTGCCGATGCGGGGGTGTGCGATAGACTTACCTCCACGTGGTGCACCCTGGGCAACGTATACTCATACGGCAAAAGAGTCTATTAACCGGCACTTGACTTCTGACTTCAAACTACCCCATCCCATTGTATGTCATTGTCGACCTCTTCCACAGTGCTCACCTCACCTTTTTTCTACCTTTGTTTCTGCCTCTTCTACATCTTTGAAACTCTCTTCTGTTCCCCCTCTCCCTCTCGATTTGTTTCACTTTGGTGGTCCTCCTCCTCTGTGAAGCCCGAAGTCAACTAAAGGGCTAATGATAACTTTCACAACGCCTACCATTTGATATAAATAAAAAATAATTGCCGATGCGAATCATTATGATGCATATTTATTTATTTCAAATGGCAAGCGATTTGATATTATCATTGGCCCTTTAGTTGACTTCGGGCTTCTCGGAGAGGAGGAGGAACATCAAAGTGACAAAAGTCGAGAGAGGAGACAGAATAATGATTCGCAGATGTAAAAGAGACAGACAGACACAAAGGCAGAGAAAAGGTAAGATGGGTACTGTGGAAGTAGTCGAATATGACATACAGTGGGGTGATGGTAGTTTGAAGTGAGAAGTCAACTGTCGGTTTATAGACTTTGCCGTATGAGTATACGTTGCCCAGGTGCACCACGTGGAGGTAAGTCTATTGCACACCCCTCATGATGCATATTATTATCTACCATTGTTCTAGATGCCACTACATATGTGGATGAAGATAAATGTGAGATTTAAGGATGAAACAAAAGCAATAAAGGAGAAGGATAAGTACGGAGTTGAATGATTACATCAAAGCTTTTGGACTCCTTTTGACTCGCCCACTTTGTGCAAAATAAGTAACAATCATTAATCGATAGACTGCTAAATTACTTTATTCTCTGATATTGAGAGTTTCGATTACATTTTATTGATAACCGGGGGTGTGCGATAGACTTACCGCGACGTGGTGCACCCTCGGCAACGTTTACTCGTACGGCAAAAAAGTCTATAAACCGGCAGTTGACTTCTCACTTCAAACTACCATGACCCCACTGTATGTTATATTCTACCCCTTCCACATTACTCATCTCTCTTTTTTCTCTTTTTTTCTTGCATCTTTGAATCTCTCTTCTGCTCTCCCTCTCGAATTTTTCTCACTTTGATGTTCCTTTCCCTCTGTGAAGCCCGAAGTCAACTAAAGGGCTAATGATAACTATCAAAACGCCTGTCATTTGATATAAATAAACAAATTATTGATAATCTAAGTTGACCTTATAATACAGAATGATTCATAAAGTTAACAAGATTAGGTGACCCGCAATTTAGGACTCGTCCGCTTTGTGCAAATTAAGTAACAATTATTAATCGATAAACTGCTAAGTTACTATATTCCACGATATTGAGAGTTTCGATTGCATTTTATTGATAACTTATGATAACCTTATATTACAGAGTTATTCATAAAGTAAACAACACTAGGTGACCTCAATCAGCTTGCTACCCGCCATGTATTGTTCGTAAATACCTAGTTAGGCGAACATGCCGTGCTCCATCACTTTCTTTCACAATTTTTCCTACTGTTCGACCTCTTTCTCTCATTTCTTTTCGATTGGTCAGTACTGAGTCCTCTTTTCCGCTCTATAATACCATGGGGTTGCTTACTATATTTGATGCGTTTGTGGAGGAATTGTAAATATCAGTCCTCGACAAACTATGTGAATTCATTGCAGACTAGAATAGTGAACTACGATTCATGATTCGGGGTGTGCGATAGACTTACCTCCACAT